GGTTTAGGGTGGATGGATGGGTTTTGGGGTGTACACTGTAATTTTTATAAAACTTTTCAATAAAAAAATTCTTATCAGTGATCTTGCCTTCTTTTACATCACTATGGGATTAATAAAATATAAGAAAGAATGTGATTTTAGTAACAGATGTTTTTGCATGAATCAAGGAATGGATGTGGTGAAAGAAAAATGGTTTGCAAAGATTATAAAGGTATGGAAAGGTATGATGAGTGTTATTGATTTAAATTAAATGTAGATTCCCTTTTTCTTTCTCTTATCTTGTCTATAATTTCTTTTTCTAACTGCATTTTATTCTTTTGGAGTTCTGCATGTTTTTTATATTGCAAGAGAACAGCATTATGTATATGCATGTATTTATCTTGCAAAGAATAGCAAATGTGCTTTACTTGAAAGATTATTTACTGTTACCCACTTTATTTGTCAACTTTTTTATATTGCCTGACTTTCAGCAACTTTGGGCTGTTCGCAAAACAATAATACTATGATAAAAGCAAAGAACAAAAGGTGGCACAAACTGGACAATTATTTCTGATCCAAGAACAGCAGCCTTCGGAATATTAATAACTAAATTAGCTAAAACACTTACATAACTACCCATCTTATACCAAACTCTGAGTGGCTTACAATAAAAAAAGAAAACGTGTCTAAACAAACAAACAAAAAATCAAAAGATCTGATGCCATAGCTAAACTTTCCCATGCACAGCACAGTTCACCTTACCAATCTCTGTCCATCCTATCCTAGAGGGAAAAGCCAGGTCTTGAGTGCTTTTGGAAGATTAAAAGGGTGGGGAGGGATTAAAAGGTTAAAAAATCAAGGAATAAAATGTTCTATAGGGCAGGGGCTGCCACAGAAAAGGCCTGCTCCCTAGGTTCTTTTAAATGGCATAATTTAAAGGAAGGAATTAGGATTGTGCCCACCTTTAATCTGTTGGATGGACAGGCCCCCTTAGGGATAGGCTATCCTGCATATGATCTGGTCCCTTGTCATATAGGGCTTTAAAGGTAATAATAGCCTGTGCTTGAAATGCACCCAGAAGGTAACATTTCTGGCAAGGACATGGTGTGCTAAATGTCACTGAAGGACTGAAGAATGGCATTACATCTGAAAATGATAGTAGTAGGACTTTTAACTGCTTTTTAAATATTAAGAACCTTGGGAACAGCAAATTCAATGGCATTCTCTGGCTAAGTTTCCTTCTGTACATAATGTTGGAATCCAACATTATGGAAGCCCAAGCAATAGAATATAGTCAAACTAGAGTCTTGGACTTCAAGAGAGCTAATTTCAATAAACTTAGAGAGGATTTGGAAAGAATTCCATGGATGAGAATCTTCCAGGGGAAAACAACTCAAGAAGCTTGGAAAATTTTGAAAAGTGAGATAATAAAAGCCCAGTCTAGCACAATACCAACAAAGAGGAAAAATAACAGCTCTCAAAAGAAACCAGCATGGTTGCATAAAGAACTCTCTGATAAATTGAAAGATAAAAAGGACAAGTATAGAAAGTGGAAAGAGGGACACATAACTAAGTCAGAATGTCAGCAAATAGCCCGAGCCTGCAAAGATGAAGTGAGGAAAACTAAGGCTCAAAATGAACTAAGGCTTGCGACCAAAGTCAAAAATAACAAAAAAAGCTTCTTTCAGCATGTAAGAAACAAGAAAAAAGTGAAGGAAACGATTGGTCCATTAGTGGGTGAAAGTGGCAAGGTGACAAGCAACAGGGAGAAAGCAGAACTATTTAACTCGTTTTTCGCATCTGTCTTTACCCAAAGGGAAAAAACAGACCAACCTATCAAAAATAATGCCATAAAAACCAGAATAGAAACGCAAGTTAAGATAGGCAAGAAAATGGTAAGTGAGCACCTCTCCAGCCTAGACGAGTTCAAATCACCAGGACCAGATGGATTACACCCCAAGGTTCTCAAGGAACTGGCAGATGTGATCTCAGAACCACTGAACTATATTTTTCAAAGATCCTGGAACACAGGGGAACTACCAGAGGACTGGAAAAGAGCTGATGTAGTTCCCATCCTCAAAAAAGGAAAAAAAATTGGATCCAGGAAATTACAGACCTATCAGCCTGACCTCAATATCTGGGAAGATCCTGGAAAAGATAATCAAACAACGAATCAGCGAACACCTACAGGCAAAGTCATTACTAAAAGCCAACACAGGTTTGTCAAAAACAGATCATGCCAGATAAATCTTATTGCATTCTTTGACCAAGTGACAAAATTAGTGGACCAGAGGAATGCTGTGGACATAATTTACTTGGACTTCAGTAAGGCATTTGACAAAGTAGATCACAACCTACTACTTGATAAGATATAAAAATGGAGGTTAGACAGCCTCACCACCAGATGGATCCATAGCTGGCTGACCGGCCGTACTCAGCGTGTGGTCCTCAATGGAACCACATCTACATGGAGGGAAGTGTGTAGTGGGGTGCCCCAGGGCTCTGTTCTAGGCCCAGTGCTCTTCAACATCTTCATCAACAATTTGGACGAGGGGATAGATGGGGAACATCAAATTTGCAGATGACACCAAGCTGGCAGGAATAGCCAACACTCCAGAAGACAGGCTTAGGATACAGGATGATCTGAACAGACTTAAACACTGGGCGCTATCTAACAAAATGAAATTCAATGGTGAAAAAAGTAAGGTTCTACATTTAGGCGAGAAAAACCAAATGTACAGGTATAGTATAGGGGATACCTTGCTCAATAGTAGTTAACTGTGAGAGGGATCTCAGAGTCCTAGTGGACATATGAGCCAGCAGTGTGCTGCAGCTGCCCAAAAAGCCAACACAGTGCTAGGCTGCATTAACAGAAGGATAGAATCAAGATCACGTGAAGTATTAATACCACTTTACAATGCCTTGGTAAGGCCACACTTGGAATACTGCATCCAGTTCTGGTCACCACGATGTAAAAAAGATGTTGAGACTCTAGAAAGAGTACAGAGAAGAGCAACAAAGATTATTAGGGGACTGGAGGCTAAAACATATAAGGAACGGTTGCTGGAATTGGCTATGTCTAGTTTAATGAAGAGAAGGACGAGGGAGGACATGATAGCAGTGTTCCAATATCTCAGGGGCTGCCACAAAGAAGAGGGAGTCAAGCTATTTTCCAAAGCACCTGAAGGCAGGACAAGAAGCAACGGGTGGAAACTAATCAAGGAGAGAAGCAACCTAGAACTAAGGAGAAACTTCCTGACAGTTAAAACAATTAACCAGTGGAACAACCTGCCTCCAGAAGCGGTGAATGCTCCAACACTGGAAGTTTGTAAGAAGAAACTGGACAGCCATTTGTCCAAAATGGTATAGGGTTACCTGCCTGAGCAGGGGGTTGGACTTGATGACTTCCAAGGTCCCTTCCAACTTTATGATGATGATGATGATGATGATGATGATGATGATTATGTACAACTTTGAGTACTTTGCAACTTTGGAAATAAATGGCAAAAGGGTAATCAGGGTAGATATAGATGTTATTTTTGATAACCCTTAGTGGACTTTTGTTGATCGGAAGTGAACGATGAAGTTTTAAGAATTTGTCTATGTTAAGTGATGCGATATGGGATAAATAGATTGCTATATTTTAAGAGAAAGTGATAACTTATTCAAATTTAAACTTGTTGAGACAAATTAATTAATTTCTGGACTATGTCATCCTCGTAGTTTCTATATCACACACCCACTTAATATAATCTATAATAATATTTAAGCAGGAAAAGTACATTTACTTATTACATGTTTTATTTATCTAGCCCAGGGGTAGGCAACCCAAAACACTCAAAGAGCCACTTGGACCCGTTTCCCACCGAAAACAAAACACCGGGAGCCGCAAAACCCTTTTGATATCTAAAATGAAGATAACACTGCATATGTCCTTTTTTGCCTTTATTATAGGTGTGTGTGTGTGTATGTATACATACACCCACAGGTAAAAAAGGATATATGCAGTGTTATCTTCATTTTAGATGTCAAAAGGGTCTCTCTCTCTCTCCTTCCCTCTCTCTCTATCTGCCCTGGGTCTGCCAGTCCTCTTCCCCCACTCTCTTTCTTTCTCTCTCTCTCTCTCCCTCCCTCTCTCTCTTTCTCTCTCTCTTTCTCTCCCCCCCTCTCTCCCTCCCTCTGATCTTATGCTCACCTGGCAAGTTGGCTTCAAGCTGTTCTCCAACAAGCTCAGGGGTAGGCAACCTCGGCTCTTTTATGACTCATGGACTTCAACTCCCAGAATTCCTGAGTCAGCATAGCTGGGCTAGCTAGCTCTCTCCTGTCCTTCCTGCTTCCTGCAGAGACGCAGCAAAGGGAGGACTCCGCCCAATAAGTTTTTCAGCTCCTCGGAGAACACTGAGTGCACTCTCTTTTACACACACACACACACACACACAAACACGCACAGACACACACACACACACACACACACACAGAGAGAGAAGTAGGGAAGCGCAATTGCCTCTCTCTGTCTCTGTCTCTCTCTGCAAATGGCAGAGGCTGGAAGCCACAGGGGAAAGCTCAAAGAGCCGCATGCGGCTCTGGAGCCGCAGATTGCCGACCTGTGATCTAGCCATTCAGATGTCAATCATTAAAGCTATTAAAGCAAAAGGAAAGTACAGTCTATATGCATCTACCATATAAAAGATGGAATATAGAAAACACCATAATAGAACTGTAACTTGTTTTTATTTATTTATTTATGAAACTTATATACCGCTTTTAAGTGCAAGCACTCTCTAAGCGGTGTACACCAGTAAGCAATGTATATATATATTTACATTGCCCCCAACAATCTGGGTCCTCATTTTACCTACCTCGGAAGGATGGAAGGCTGAGTCAACCTTGAGCCGGTGAGATTTGAACCGCTGACCTGCTGAACACAGTCAGCTAAAGTGGCCTGCAGTACTGCACTCTAATTGCTGCGCCACCTCGGCTCTTTATATCAAATTATTTTAAGTTTTCTAAGAAACACTCACCTCTGGTTGAATAGCTTTAAATGCAGGAATATCCATGAGTGTAATCTGGCCCTTAAATGAAAGTTATAAGAAAATTAAATGATGTTCCTTGTTTCACAACTCGGTTCATTTGATTATTTAACAATTCCTAGCAAAATGACAGCATGCCCCCTCTATGTTTCCATAGCTATGTGATTACATATCATAATACATATATGGTTACAATTATAATTCTAGGGTAAGGAAGAAATGAGAGCAGTCCTGAGAAAAAAAATTCAGGAAAGCGTTCCTTAATAGAAAGAGATAAGATGCTGACAATTCAAAAGAGAAAGTATAACTTAATTTCACAATTGCCAGAGTGATCAACCAGAATTATTAGTACTAGTTATTATTAGAATTACTAAGAATTCTAGCTGATCGGGAACACATTTTGTTGTAGATTGCATTCATTTCCACTCACTTTGCTACCACTTGTTAATAAGACTATAAAGAAATGTGACATATTATAGTGAGGCATCTTTGTTTTTCATTCCTTTTGCAAATTAGAAACACAGAGAGGATTTTATTCTTATCTTAGAAGCATTGGCATCTTAATTACTACTACATCAAACCAACTCCCCTTTCAAATATTAATATATTTCAAAACAATATCTGTATTCTCACTTGGCATTCTCCTTTTCAATTTTATAAGACAGTCATTTTCTATGTGTCCGAATCTTCATGAGGAATTAGTTTTGCTGAATATTCACTAAGCTCCTGTTTATGACACTTACCTTGTGATCTGAATGCTTTAGACATTGTTCAGATAAGAAATCACTATGGACTGCAATGTTCATAAATAAATGGAGGCACTTATGAATGTATTCATTATTTTGAAGTATATCTGATTTCAGCCACAAAATTCTGTGCTGAAGAAATTAAATTCTCACATGCATAAGAGATAATTCTCACTGTCATTTTCCTGGAATATTTTAAATTTAAGAGCCCTTAAAAATAAGGATTCTTTGTGGTAAAAGACTAAAAAAAGGAAGATTGACTTGTAGTTCAAAAAATAAACTCCAAGGGCCACAAGTTTTTTATTTTAATTTTCACTCGGGTAACAACATAGCATTATTTAAATATAATGCTATAAATAATGAACAAGACCATTTGAAGTGGTAGAGATTGAGAATTAGGAATATATTTTTACCCAATTCTCAACACAGCAAAAGCTATAAAAAAATTGCTAGCATCCAGGCTAATGTAAAAGGGGGGATATACAGTAATGCTGGTATTCTCAAAGTAGTTACAGTATTTCCCCAAAAATGAGACCAAGTGTTATATTAATTTTTGCTGCAAATAATGAATTAGAGCTTATTTTCCGGTTAGGGCTTATATTCGGGGAAATACGGTACTAAATGTGTCTGTCTGGCTGATGATCTTAACTGGGCTTATTTTGGGGGCGTGGCTTATATTACAAGTGTTCTGAAAAATCATACTAGGGCTTATTTTCTGGTTGGGTTTCAACACTGCTAACATTGGATGTTCTTGCTTTGACAACAGATGGAAATGTAGCCATCTTTTCTCTATTGCTTTTAGAGTTCGTTGATGCTGGGAGGGGGAATGTGGATGAGAATCCAGCTAGTCATAACAATAATAACTCAGCGGTGGGAATCCAAGGTTATTGCGCCCAGAGTTGATAAAGATTTGGTGGCCTGCAGAGCTGGGGAGAAAGCCTGCGCTTCAAGCTAACTGGGAAATGTGATTTATGAATGTTAATTGGAGGAGGGAATTATGTTTTACTACTTTGTGTGCAGGGGGGGGGAGAATTTAGTTTTTGGCTTTAACTATGTTAAAGTAAACAATGCCTCAAAGTTCTTTGGAAGAGTTTCATCTGTCGGAACCATGACATTAAGCCAAAACCCACAATTTTTATCCAACTATCTTGGGGTCCCGAGCTCCAGTCGCTATCCCTAAAATTGAGAGATAGACTGACAAAGATTTGGGAAAGATTTCAGCATGGAGAAAGAAAGAGCGCCTGAAACCAGCACCCCGGCAACAGCTGCTACCCCAGAGGGCAGACTGCAAGTCAGCGCGCCGGTGGAGAAGGAACTTCTCCAGGCCTCTCAGTTGAGGGCAAGGCCCAAGCCACGAGGACAGCTGATCTGGTCATCGGAATGGACCTTACCCAGTAAAGACTCCAGACACCTCGAGACGGCCTTGCCACAATCAAGTGCTTCGAAGGCGGATGAGGTTGAGCTGCAAGGAGGGGATTCCCGCACGTCAGATTCCCCAGACCAGTGGAGAACCACAAAATCGACTACTTCTGAAGACTCGGGTGAGTGGAAGTACCTGTCCGCAGCCTGTAGTCAATCAGTGGAGAAGTTGGTGGAAAGATTTGAGGAGCTAGAGGTGAAAAGTGGAGAACAGCCTTCCTGTTCCCCATACATGAGCGATCATGATGATCAGTGAGGCAGCCACCAGCTCCTGCTAAGGGGAACCCCCAGTCCCACCTGTGCAGATCAGGCAGTCTCCCTGTCCTCAAAACCACCTACCATGACCTCCAGCCCCGCAGGGAGAGACAGCTCCAGTCGTCACCCCTACAAAAGCCCAGATTGCTGCCGACGAGATAAGAGCCTGAGCCGTCACCGGGACAGCCAAACCCCAGATCGACACACTTATCAGCCATCCAGCCTGGGACCCATACAGCAATGGGGGATGTCGCAGCCTCCACAGGTGGGAGGCCAGCAGTCGCTGGCAGTGCAGCAGCTGATCTGGACATGGCCGCAGCCCCCTAAGATGCAGCAGCAGATGGGGACCTTGCAACAACTGGGGTTGATGCAGCCGCCAGGGGGGTCAGCAACCGCTGGGAGTACAGCAGCAGCAGTGAGGCTGGCTGCTGCCTCCAAGCGTGCAACTGCTGAGGGGCCTCCAACTGATAGAAATCCAGCAACAACCACCTCCAGGACCGCAGGGGGGCCTACAGCAACTGGGGATAACACAGCCCCCAGCAGGCCAGAAGCAGTGGGGATGGCAGCAGCCCCTGCCCATGCAGCAACCACTGGGAGGCTTACAGCAACTGGGGATGCCATTCCAGCAGCCGTTGAGACTTGTGGGGTTCGTACAGCAATTGGGGATGCCACAGCTGCCAGCAATGCAGCAACAGCCATGGGGGTGGCAATAGCCCGAGCGTGCAACAACTGCTGGGAGGGTTGTAGCAACTGGGGATGCGGCAGCCACCATGGGGGGGGGCAGCAACAGTTGGGGGTGCAACATCCACAGTGGGGAGGCCAGCAACTACTGATGGCGCCACTTCTTAGAGCAACCTTCGATGGGGACCTGGAGAAGCTGATCTTTTTCCTCAACCAGGTGCACTGTCACTTGAACCACTGTGCCTATTTATATCCGATCCCAGCTGCTATGGTCGACGTGGTTGCATCCAGCTTGGAAGGGGAAGCATTCAAGTGGCTGAACAATTTATATAACGAGCAAGCACCCAAGTTGGAGGACCCCCATCTCTTCCTTCTAGGACTGAGAGCAAACTTCGAGGACCCATCCATTACCCTCAAAGCAGAGGAACAAATCCACAAAATAAAACAAGCTGGCAGGCTTGCACTGGAATACGTACAAGAGTTTCGCAAGATAGCCAGACGAATAGAGAGGTGGGCCGAGCAATCCCTTCAATCACTTCAAGGAGGGACTAGATGACCACTTCTCCCAGGCCTATAACTATCGAGCAGTCCCTGATCAGCTGCAAGAATGGTACCAGGCAGCAGTAAGACTAGATGTTGAGCTCGCCTGCTATAAGAAGCCACCCCCACAAGAAGCTGAGTCGAGGCCAAATCAACCCAAATGACAGCCTCCAACCAACCAACCAACCCGAAAGCCTCCAACTGCTGTGGCTACTGAAAATCCCAGGCTACCTGCAGGCCCATCGATCAAGTGTTTCAGATGTGGACAAGGACATCAAGCAGCGAGTTGCCCAGTCCCTTACCCTCAGCAGCAGAATAGACTGGGACCACCAGCGAGAAAGAAACCAGCCCAGCAGCCGACAAAAGAGAAATCCAACTGGATTGTGCAGGAACCCATTGCCCAAGTCATGTCCCCCACATAGGAGTGCCGAGACCCAAGCCGGACCTGCCGCCGCTCTATCCTCCTACAACAGTGACGACGGAGAGAACGACCTGATGGTGAGTCGGCATGTCCCACCTTTCTCACTACCTGCCAAACTCATAATCCCTAAGATGGGGACACTGGTAGATTTAAAAGTACTAGTCGACTCTGGATGCTCCTGGTGCATTATTAGCTTGTCACTGGCCCTGAAAATGGGCATACAAGCAAGGCTGCTCTCCAAACCCATGAGGTTCGAGCAAGCCAATGGCTCCCTAATGGGAGGAACTTTAGTCATGCAACTGACTGAACCCCTATGCTTAGAAATAGGAGAGCACTGGGAGTTCATTCGTTTCATAGTGGCTCCGAAAATGACTGATGCTATGATCCTAGGACTAGCCTGGTTAGACAAATGGAAACCATTTATCTGGTGGGAGAAGGGAATGAGGACTGTGAGATTACCTATAGGACTGAACCCTCCCCCTTAACTCAATGGACATTACAGGAGACTTTAGCTCACCCACACGGCCACCTTGTCTCAACCAGGCAAGCCACTCATCCCCAGCAAGTACTGGGACCTAGCAGGGACATTTAGTGAGAAAGAATGTGACACCCTGCCTCCCCACCAACCCAATGATTGCTCTATCAAACTGTTACCGGGAGCCAAACTTCCACGACTGAGAATGTGCGCTATGTCCCCCCTTGAGATGGAGGAGATGCAGCAATAAGTGGACAAAAATCTAGTGAGGGGATTTATCGAACAGGCCAAGTCTGCTGTGGGAGCCCCGATGTTATTTAAAGAAAAAAAGAACAGGTCATCTCTGCATGGATTATAAAGGTCTGAACACAATGAGAGTGGAAAATAAATACCCCTCCCCCTCCTGAAGGACTTACTAACCCACCTGGCAAAGGGAGTGTCTTCACTAAGTTGGACCTGAGAGACGCATATTACCGGGTGAGGAAAAAGGAGAGAGATGAGTGGA